GTCGTACGGACGTACGACTATTATCTTATACTATTAGTTAGTTTATTTAGTTAGTTATATATATATATATATATATATATATATATATAAAGAGAGAGAGAGAGAGAGAGAGAGATAAACAGATCTGAAATTCGCACCAACCATGTCTATCCCAGCATTGATTGATGTCTTAATGCATAAGCGGTAGTCTGAGCCATAAGGCTCACAAAGCTCATCTATACCTTCCCAGTCCGAGATCAAGAACCCCTGTAATAAATTATAAAACAAAGTAAACCCAAAGGCATAATGATCGTTCTCTTGAGTCCCCCCAATGAGGACCCTTCCTAAATACGTGAAGAGCATTGTTGTAAAAGAGAGGATGAAATATAAGTAAATGAAAGACCCTTAAGATCTTTCATAAAAAATGACAGTTGCATTTACCTTGAAACCCAATTGCTCTTTGAGAACTTGGGTGAGGAGAAAATGGTTAGAATGCATCTTCACAGAGTTCCAGCATGTATAAGAGGCCATGACTGTGCAAATCCCACGATCAAGGCAGTCTATGAAAGGTTTCATATGAACACTCTTTAGTTCTTCAATGCTTAACACTGTGTTTCCCTCATTGACTCCTTCTGAGCCTCCATTTCCAACAAAATGTTTCATGCAAGCAATGACATTTTTCCTGCAATCAGTTGTATCCATGAATTTTATATCCAGTTTCCTAAGATCCTAAAAATAGACAAAAATGTAGAAGTAGTGTATTCTATGAGAAGCTCTCTCATTCAAAAAAAACAAAGGTGATTGATCTCCACCACCCATCAACCTTGATTGATAAGGTCGAGGTAACCCTGGTTACAGCTTAACTAACAGTACAAATTTTTAGATCAACAGAGGGATGATCAGCCTTCACATGCTTTCCATATGTGAAAGCTTCACATACAATAAGTTCTCAAAGAAGACTACAAAAAACATTAATGAACAAGCTGCAGAGCAGCAACACTACTACAAATTCTCTCCAAAAGATGCTTCTGGAGTAATGATTATTGAAGAATGATCAATCCTTCTTCATCTTCACTTACTCTTTCTTTTTCCTTTTTTTTGGAAGTGGTATGGTGATATAAGAAAATTTTGTAAGTAGAGTCGAGTAAATCAAGGGGTTAGTCATTATTTGAAGATACTGAGGTAATCTTGAATTGTGATGTAGACGAGGTGATCATTTTCTGATGCTTCAGGAGTAATAATTATTGAAGAATGATCAATCCATCTTCATCCTTCATTTTCTCATTCTTTTTCTTTTTCTTTTTTTTTTTTGGAAGTGGAATTGTGATATAAGCAAATTTTGTAAGTGGAGTCGAGTAAATCAAGGGGGTTCGTCATTATTTGAAAATACTTAGGTAGTCTTGTATTGTGATGTAGATGAGGTGATCATTTTCTAAGGTCTTCAGCTAATAGCACTTCAAATAAATTAAATTTTTTTTTTTTTTTTTGTTCTCTAATCTTTTTTGGATGGTTCAGCAGAAGGATTCAAACTTGGGAACTAGTGGTGCAATCCTCAATACATTAACCACTCAAGCCAAAGCCCCACTCAATCCTCAATCACCCATATTTCAAAAGAGAAAGGTCCCAACTAATAGAACAATGAAAGGTAGTCCTGTAAGGTTTTGTACACATTGTGGGCATTTTAAATGCCTTCAACTAACAGCAGTACAAAGAGAGAGAGATCTCAATCGCCCATATTTCAATTCATAAGAAAGGTCCGATGGCATTGCGGAGAAGATTTTAGTTTCAGGTGAAATAGGAAAAGAAAGCAAATTAAATAACAATGATTGGTTTTATTACACCTTCCAGCAATATAAGGGTGGCCCTTAGTGTGATCAGGGGCTGGTGATCCTTGCAAGCCCCAGACTATGCTGGTCAAGCTACTCACTATTTCTGTGTCTTCACCATAACTCTCATAGCATCTTCCCCATTTTGGATCTCTGCAAACCTATATCAATTAAGGTTAAATTATGTCAAGTCTCCATCTAAAACTATAAACAGGGGCCTCACAATATAGTGGACATCCAACATACAGAAAACATTGATTATGAAAACTATAAATAAATTTAATGAAAAGCATCGTGAGCTTCTTCATGTCACATATAACTGGGCAATTCTACTCATTGTATTTGGCTAATGACAACTAAATAAGTAATTAGAGCAACCCCCCCTAAGATATAGAGAAGCACCATAGTAAACCTGGCAATGTCTGTGTGTGTATATATACATGTATATACACACACACACATAAAGAGAGAGAGATAGAGAGTGTGGGTGTTTGTGTGTGTGTTCTCTCTGGATCATATAGGAACAAATGATGTTACTGTAGTGATTACAAAATTCATTTTCTATTTCATCCTGGTTTCCGTTCTTTTCAACAATACGAAATTAGTTTACATTATTATCAAACCATAAGGGGGAGATCAGCACGTACATCAACACATGGAGCAAATGTAAAGTGGATCCCTGTGGCACGAAGTTCAGTTGCAGTTGCTTCCCCAATTCTCCGAGCTAAATCTGGGTCTCTACAATAAACCCAGAGAGAAACTCATTAATGGAGAATACTATTATAACCCTTTTGATTGAGAGCAATAATAAGACATTTATCAGTTTTAGCTAGAAAAAATGAGGCCCTCATAAGTAACCTGCTTTGGTAACTGAGTTAGTTTTGAGTGATGGAATGCCATTGGGAAAGGAATTTTGACTACAGAAAAGGATCCAGTCAGGAGCCAGTCCATACTCAAAACACTTAATATCAAAGTAACTCAAGACATCAGTGTTTCAAAAGATGCATATATATGTTAAGTTTTTCTTTCTTTTTCTTTTTGTTTTGGTAAATGTGAGTTAAAGACATAAAAAAAGAAGTTAAAGCAAAATAACAACAAAAGTTGATCACAAGTTTCAATAAAAAAGAGTAGAGTTTAACAGATCAAGAGTTTAAATTAAACTCCTTTTAAAAAACAAAACAAAATCCAATCGCTTGCCAGGACACTGTAACTGTCAGCTTTATTTCTAAAAATTGATTCACAGTTTAACTGGTTCTCATATATGGACTTTGCCTTGTACATTTAGCAGCACAATTATTGATAAAATATCTTGATGTTTTTTTTTCCTTATAAATGGTCCTTATGCTATTTATTGAATGAATCAGATAATCTTGTAGCCTGTGTAAATAGGACAACTCCGATAAAGTCACACCATATGGCGCTCTTTTAGAGCCTTCAATCTATTGCATATTTACTATGTGACCCATTTATGGGCTGGCAATTTAGTGACAACGGGTTTCTGCGTAAAACCAATTTACCCATTAAATTATTATAATATCTATTGTAATAGAATAATTACCGCTGCTGCTACTGGCACTGCTACTACTATTACTACGACGACGACTCTATTGCTTCCACTAGAACAACTACTACTACTGCTCTTGCTGCTTGTGCTTTTACTACGACAGAAAGAAACATGAGCTACTAGTCTACTAGAACTGAAAGAAACAACAACAGCAATAACTACTACCTGCACTACCACTAGCCCACTGCAACAAAAAAAAAAGAAAAAAACAGCAACAACCCCTACTACTAGTACAATACTCCATTAACAACAACTATTACTGTGACTACTATGACTAGTAGTAGTACTATTACTACACTGCTACAACAAGTAAAAACTAGTACTCATACAACCGCAGCCACCCCTACCACAACTAGACTTCTCAGGATGTAGTAGGAATTAAGATTTGTATGCCAGGACAGACTTGTAAATACGACATTTAATTTTGCCATATTTGTTTATTTTGTACTCATAAAATATTCATATTTCCATAGGCATATTATATTGTTAAGAGCATTGTTTTAAAAACTCACAATCCTGATGGGGAATTGCCGATCTATATCAGGAATCAGTCCAAGCTTGTAAATAAGACATTTATTTTTCCCATATTTGTTTATTTTGTACTCATAAAATATTCATATTGCCATAGGCATATTATATTGTTAAGAGCATTGTTTTAAAAACTCACAATCCTAATGGGGAATTGCCGATCTATATCAGGAATCAGTCCAAGCCGACCTGGTTCCTTGTCGAAACCTCGAATCGATCTAGTTTCTTTGGACTCCCTCAGTTCCATCAGGGAACCAGGCGATCCATACTGGCTGGGCCCCCCAATCCCCACATATAACATTTTTTTTTTCCTTTTTTTCTTTTTTTTTTCCTAGAAACTGATTCACACTGGAGAATCGGTTTGATTCACTGATCTGGATTGGCAATTCACCAGTCCAGACTTGATAGCCGGTTCACCTAGCCAATCCGGGTCTCAAAACATTGGTTAAAAATAAATATGTCCAAGATGAATTAGGTTGGCTTGGACGATCAATTGTAGATTCAGCTTTGGACGATCCATTACTTCGTAAGATTCCTCTCCTCCTTTTGCCTTAGACCCCAATTTAAATTCAAAGACGAATTTGAATTCAAACCCCAATTACGGGACAAAAAAGAAAAAAACTAGTATTCCTCACCTCCTTTCGCTACCACAAATATGACATCCTCATTTACAAATTTTCCTTTGACTCCTAACATGCTCTTATATGTGGCCTTTGTTAAATTGGACTCTACCAACCTCATAATCTGGAAGAGTGAAAATATTTGAATTTTACTAGGGCTGGCAATGGACCCAAACCCGACCCATATCCGTTGGGTATACCCGACATGGGTCGGGGTATGGGTCCAAACCTTGGACCCACGGGTAGGGTCCAAATCCCATATATTGGATCCGAATATTTTCTGGTACGGGTCAGGTACTGGTGGACCTGCCCCATACCCGACCCGGGACCGCAGCTTCCCACATGTTTAGGAACCCACCCTTCATTTTTATAGGATACCCCCTCATATTACCTTTCTAAATCTTTGGATGTGGGATTATTTTCAAGTCTCTCTCTCTCTCTAACCCCTCCCACCTACCACTCAATAATTTAAACCAACAATAAAGGATGGATCTTTCCAAGAAGGGTATACGTGATTTGTATGGGGAATCCTTTTAAGCAAGGGAAGGGGAAGGCAGGCCTTGAACAAAAAGTAAATCCATGTGGTGAGTGGACCTTTCCAAGAAGGGCATACGGCAGGCATTGTCCACATGCAAATGTGGTCTTTTCCAAGAAGGAAAGAAGTATGTACAAAATAGAAGTATGTACAAAGTAGAAGGAGAGAGGCTGTGGTTTATCAGTCCCACATCAATGGGAGTAGGAAGAATTAAGTAGGGTGAGATCTATAAATATAGGGGCATTGGGGTGTTTGAGACAATGACACACAGCCTATTTCTAACTCTGTTATTGGCTAGTGTCGGGTACGGGTCTAGGTCTTGGGTCCTTAGTTGCCTGTCGGGTACGGGTCTGAGTATATTTAATTTAGAACTATCGGGTTAGGGGTTCGGGTCCGGGTCCATGTCCAGTTATAGCTGGACCTGCCTGACCCATACCCGACCCATTGCCACCCCTAAATTTTGCATGGGTTAAGGTTGGTGGGATATGTCAACAGAACCTTATCTTCCCCTCAAAACTCATTGAGAAGGAGTCATGTTGCCATAGATTATCATCAGGCTGAATAAGTTCCACTCTTTCCCAAGACATATCAAATAAGAGGTGTTTGTTGGTCATAGAATTGTGGGATATCCTTCATGAGTTTTACGCTCAATCATCTAAGGGAAGCTTGACGCATATTTGCAGACAACACCAGCAGTGTGAGAGAGAACTCTTCTATTATTGAGCACCATAATAAAGTGAAAGACTTTGTGATTAACTAGCTGTCAATGCTCATGACATTAGCAATGATAATGTACTCTACCTGCTTGGAGAACTAGGTGAAGAATATGACACATTCGCCGCAACGGGCATGCCTAGATCACCAACACCTGGTTTCAATGAACTTACCCCTCTCTTATTGCAACATGAAGCCTCTTACTGCAACATGAAGCTTTGATCAAGAAAAATCTGATGTATCCAATGTGTGGCCGTCTATAGCCCCACCAAAGGTGCAAGCCTTCAATTGGATAACACGTTCAGAACAAGCTCCCACTGCCGACCAACTCCAACGGAGGGGTATTCCCATCCCCCAACCTTTGTGTCATGTGCCTCAGTGATGAAGAGAGCAACCCTCGCCTCTTTTTACACTTTGAACTTGCCCATAACCTTTGGAGTCAACTACGTTGCCTTTTTGGCCTCACCTGGGTCACACCCGCCTACCTCCCAGAGCTCTTCAAACTTTCGTTGGACTCTCCATAGCCTAAGGTGGGCAGGTTGTTATGGAAAGGCCTCCATAGCAGCAAAGATTTGGATGATCTGGACTGAACGAAATTCAAGAATTTTCTGAGGAGCCAAGAGTGAAGCTTCAGCTCTCTTCCACAAAACTTTGGCCACTTGTCATTTTCTGGGCCTCCAATCACAAGGGCTTTCAAAGGCATCCCGGCCGTGATATTCTTTCAAAATTGGAAAGAAGTCCTCCTCTTTCAACCCCCACAGAGCCCTCGTGCAAACAACCGGTCACCTCCTCCACCTGGCCTCACGAAACTCAATTTTGATGGGTGCTCCCTCGGTAATCCTGATTCAACAGAGGTGGGTGGGGTCTTTAGAGATCACCAAGGCAATATCTTGGCCTCATTTTCCAAGAATATAGGCCACGCCGACTCTCAGTTGGCTGAATCCATGGCTCTTCTTGTTGGACTTAAGTTGTTTGACCCTGCATGGCGACAACCCTTGTTGGTTGAAGGAGATGCCAAAAACATAATCATTTGGGCGTCTGGGAACACGCCTCCCCCATGGTACCTTACTTCGATTTATGACAAGATTATGTACATTTGTAGGGATACAGTTGTCTTACGGATGCATACTTGGCGGGAATCAAATGACCTGGAGGACCATCTAGCCAAGGAAGGGGCTGGAGCGAGCGCAGTGGATGCTTAAACTGCTTCAGGACTTTTTGGCACTTTTCGTATTTATCTTAATTTGGACTTTCTGGTTTTTTTGAACATCCTATGTAATGGACAATTTTATACGCCCTACCCATTTTTTGTATAGGGCCCTTTTGGGTTAGCCCACTTTTTGCCGAGAGGCCTGGCCTGTGGGTCCTCTTGTTGATCCTTGTATCTCCTTCTTCAATCAATCTCCTTCTTCAATCAATACAATAGTTACCAAAAAAAAAATACATTATGATGTTTGGGACCCTTCTATGGAATCTAAATCTCATTCTAAATACTATTTTTTATTCATTAATCATTATAATAGATTCACATGGATCTTGTTAAAGCAAAAATATGATGTTTTTGATGTCTTTGTCGGATTTCGATCCTTTGTTTTAGTAAAATTTCCCATGCTGGATTACTCGATTCTGAGGTAATGGAGGAGGGGAGAATACGCCTGATAAATTTAGAGACTTCCTTTCCAACAGCTGAATTAAGCAACGGTTTTCCTGTCCTCAAACAAATAACAAACTAGTGTAACAGAAAGCATAGACATATCGAGAGGAAGCCCCATGGATGATACATGCTAATAGTGTACTGAAATCAACATGGAGTGAACATTTCACATTGTGGTGCATGTTTTAATCGGTTGGCTTCCATGAATGCTGGTAGAATGTCGTCATACTTCATTTTTCATGGAAGACACTGGCTTATAGCATGCTATGAGTTTTTGGATGCCACTGCTATATTCAGATGGACGGAAGTCAAATAAATAAATTGACGCCGAAAACTTAAATGTGCATATTCATGGGGTACAGCATATGCTCAAAGGATATCATAGTTATTACCGAAGAACCACGAAAATTTTGTGTTCACTAAATGTGACCTTTGATGAGACATAAATGTACTATCCTCCAAAACTTACAAAACTTGAATGAGGAGACACTCAGGTTGCGACTGAAGAACCTAAAATTGGTTCTTCCTCATGTACTACTGCTAACAAATGTCGTTTGAGCTTGTTACATGATGAACTAGTAGCTAGTAGAAGTTGCTCATTTGAGGAAGATCAAAGTACAACCCATGAAAGCTGTGACAGAGATGATACTCTGTCAAAGAAGAAAGAAATTGAGCAGCCCAAGAAAGATATATCAAGAATGGCATTTGTGCATCAAGAAGTAGAGACTAATGAGCAAGAGCCCGGCATGTCCCTTGACACTCAAGAATGATCAAATCTAGTATCTCACAGTCCATGAATGTTGGTGATCAAAATTAACACAGTCCATGGATGTTGGGGATAAAAATTAACTCAGAAAATCAGTGCAAACCTGGCATCCAATACAAAGGTACGACTCTCTTTCCATCGAGTACGACTCTCTTTCTATCGACATCAAGTTTTCTTGTTAGAATTATTTTATCCCTTGCATTAACACATGATTGGCAAATTTTGCAGATGGATGTTAAAAATGCATTTCTACATGGGGACCTAAAAGAAGTATACGGTTTAAAGCAGGCACCGAAGCATCATTCAATAGCTTTTGTAAGGTAGTAAAGAGTATGGATTTCAGATAACTCAAGTGGACCACTCTTTGTTTATACAGCATCATGGAACAAATATCACCATTCTACTAAGTTATGTCGATGATATTATACTTGTGGGTAGCTCAGAGGTGAATTATATTAAAGAAGTTCCTTTTGGTGCATTCCACATGTAGGGTCTAGGGATTTAAAATATTTCCTAGGCACAGAAGTTGAAATGAAGAAATACATGATGGTACTTAGGCAGCACAAATATGCTTTGGACATTTTAAAAGGGACAAGAATGTTAGATGCAAAGCCACCCCTTACACCTGCAGTTTTGAATAGAAGATTGTGAGATAATGAACGTTTTGAGGAACTTATTTCAAATCCAGAAGAATACAGAAATAGAGTTTATCTTCAGAGTAACCTATTTTTACAAGACCTGATATATCTTATGCAGTTTATCAGGTAAGTAAATACATTCATAATCCAAGAAGGGATCATTTACAGGCTACCAGAGGACATTGAGGAACATTAGGGGCCTCTACAAATAATGGCTGCTTTGATTTGAAATTGACCCTACGGATATGAATTCCATAAGGATTATAGCCTTTTCAAACACAAACTCAACTGGGACCCAAGTACCAGAAAATCAGTCATGTGTATTGTGTTTTAATGGGGAACAACTTGGTATCCTGGTGTAGAAAATACAAAAGAGAGTGGCAAAAGTATAATAGCCATTTTTCGTGAATCCAGTATTTCGTGGAAAGAACAAACGTAATAATATAGATCAACACTTTGTGAGAGAGAAAATTGAAGACAAAGAGACCAATGAACAGGTGGCAGACATTTTTACAGAATGGCTCACCAAGCAGAGATATAGACAAGTTGTTCCCTATACTTGTTGATTCTGAGGGGGCATATCAAGGACATGATGTGCATAGATAAACTTTTAATAAGACATTTATATTTGTCAAATTTGATTATTTGGTAGGCCCAAGAGGACATGGTTGGAAGTAGTGAGAAACGATATAGAGACTTATGGCCTCACTGAGTATATGGCCTTTGATAGAGCAGAATGACGGACCATCATGTAGCTGACTCCAACTAGTTGGAAAAAGGCTTTGCCGATGATGATATTTGTTTATTTGGTGCTCATATGCAATATTTGACATTGTCATGGGCATATTGTATTGTTTTTTATTTTTTGAAGATGTTAATTGTATCATGTATGGTTATATACAAACTCACACTTGTTAACAATACAATACTGCGTATAAATGTACTCTCTACTTGTGCATATGCTCTATGCTCTTCTTTGTTCCATTAAGAAGTTAAACATTGTACAAATAAAGTTGAAATTGATCATGGAAAAACTATTGATGAAAAGATACATTACATTGGAATAAGGGCGGAATGGTGTGAGAAAAACTGACCTTGTGGCCCCAAGGCCAATGTTATGGGGAAAGATAGCTGCTCCATAGCAGTTGTTGTGGCCATGAACAGCATCAGTGCCATAGATTATGGGTATGGAGAGTCGTGATTCGAGTGCGAATCTCTGGAAACCGTCCACCATTTCCACCCATTCTTGAGCTGAGACACTGGGTCCAGGTGTACTAAGAATGCTTCCTTTTGCATTACACGAGTCCCGGAAAAAAATCTTAATGCAAGAATCACAAACCCCACACACAAATAAGTGGGCTTATGCTACAACATAAGCCCATGTGTTTATATAGTATTTTATACATACACACGCACAGACATCGATTGCTAATTTCCATTTATAATCTCCGTTTCAAACATTCACCATATATAAAAGATAAGAGAGTGAATATAAAACTAAAATAAGAAATCCATCCATGAACTTCTGGGAAGGTGGATATATCTGTACCTATGGATAGGTGCTTGATGGCTTCAGAAGTGGCTACTGACCGTTCGATCTGGGCCATCTGAGCTGCTTTCTCTGTTAGAGTCATGCGTGCCATGAGATCTTTCACCCTCTCTTCTATCGGTTGATTGGGGTCCCTGTACATGGCTGCAGTAGACATTCTGTTGCAGTTTAGAGTGAGAGACACCACTTCTGTTTAGGAATGAGAGTGGAGAGAGAGAGAGAGAAAGAGAGAGAGGCCACTGTAAATGAGCGCTGCTAGGTGACATACGACTACATAGAACGCGAAGAAGCAGAGATTGAGGGTTTTAATGCTTCCGAGAAATACTTTTGTTTCTTTCCTGTCGATAAGCTCTCTGCTTTTGCACTTCTGAGTGACCACTTTCCGATAAACTTACATATAATATGATTTCCACACACACACAGAAAGAGAGAGAGAGATAGAGATAGAGAGGCTTCTTCCCTTTCTTTTGGATTAGTAAAACTCAAAACTCTGCTTTCCTCGGTCAAAAATCACTACTTTTCCTGCATAGAATATGGTAACAGTCATTTTTTTGCTAATATGAAGACACATTTCCTATATTATATATGATAACACTGGCAGGTGTGCTGAACCCACCCCCACAACTCCCAACAAAAAAGAGGGACCTCTCTCCCCACACTCACAGGTGCCAAAATCTATGAGGAACTCTCTCTCTCTCTCTCTCTACTCTGACAGTTGCTCTGAAACCTCTCTGAGAAACTCTCCCTCCCTCTCTCTCTCTGCACTAGCAGCTGCTCGGAAACTCTCTCTCAGAGGAAATCTCTCCTTGTGGCATTTATGTAACATTTGGAAGCAACAATCGGTTAAGTAAAGGAGCCGTGTTTCTATATTGTTAGTTATGCAGCATGATTACACTCATTAACAGATAAATTATTATCATATAGAAGGATACAGAATTCTTCAAACCAGTATTTCAGTAAAAAGAACCTTCATGTACGTCTCCCACCCAAACAACACACACATACGCAGAGACTGTCAGTGCATTTCTTGGCACCCAACCTTGGTTATTACGTTTTTAGGTAAATTCAGTACAATCACAAGCCAAAAAAAAAAAGGATCGTAGTGTGTGTTTGAGAGAGAGAAAGGGAGAGAGAAAGTAAGAGATGTGGAAGCTGTGAAAGTGACTTTCCCGTGCATTGCGGAGGGGGGAGGAGAGAGAGAGAGAGAGAGAAATTGGCCATTCATAGCACACAGACGTGCAGAGAGAGAAAAAAATTGCCCATTCATTGCACACACAGAACTGCAGAGAGAGAGAGAGATTGCCCATTCATTGCACACACAGACCTGCAGAGAGAGAGAGATTGCACATTCATTGCACACACAGACCTGCAGAGAGAAAGAGACATTGCCCATATGAGAGAGAGAGAGACTTTGCCCGTGCATTGCACGGTTTGTCGCAACCCAACATCAAGTACACTTTTTCATTTTGAGACCAAATGTACACATAGATAGACAAAAACAGAGAGAGAGAGAGAGAGAGAGAGAGATGATTATTGCTTGTCATACCCCAATATCAACTATTGGTTTTTCAGATTCATTTTGAGCCCAAACCCAAAGGGAAATAAAGGATCATAATTTGAGTCCCCCACATTCATGGGAAGTTGATCCACTCTCTTGAACCATGTTCTTGGCAAGCAGCCATGAAACTCATAACCTCCAAATATGACATCAGCAACTCCAGCACCCTCACTACCAGGCAACCAGGCAGCTACAAAAGCCTCCATTTTCTCGATTAATGGCTCCACGATGAGAGGCCTACCTGATAAAAGAATCACAAGCGTGGGGACTTTTGAACACACGAGCTCTATCGTTTCTATAGCTTTGGGTGAGAGTTCAAGCTTCGGGTCATCACCCAAGAATTCCGCATAGGGTTTCTCACCTACGACCACAATTGCTGATGAGAACTCTTGGGTTTTGAATGAGGTTTCAGTTGGGTTCTCTTCATATATTACCGCTGTGTTCATCCCAACTGCTGCTTTAATGGCTTCCAAGATGGTGGTCCCTGCATTTGAATTGGCATTGGTATATTCAGAGAGAAATCTCTCTCTCAAAAAAGAAAAAAAAAAAGTCCTGCATTTTCTAATGAATACCTTGTGTAATTTGGCCGCCAATTCCATACCATGTGATAGTCCATCCTCCGCATTGATACCCGAGATTGTGAGCATGTTCACCACCAACTAAAATTCTTCCACCGTTCTTAGAGAGAGGAAGAAAAGGCTTATTTGGGTTCTTCCCATTCTTCAGAAGAACAAGAGATTTTCTAACAGCTTCTCGGGCCAATTCTCTATGCATCTGTGTAAAAATCAATAACTCAGACATCAATTATTGGTCTCATCAAAAAAAAAGAAAAAGCTTATCTACTATCAGTGAAAAAGCATACAAGGGAGTCAAGAATATGTGACGAACACTAGACAATATGCACAAGTTATCATAAAAGCAGGAGATACGAACACACAAATCAGTAGAGAAATAACAGAGTTATACCCCTATGTTCAAGACCACAGAGGCCATTATTCATCTCTGATTGAAATTACAAATTTTCTAGAGCAGGTTAACATGCTTCTTCAAATGCTAATAAAGATGGTCATCTTCATTCTTATACAATGAGACCATTAAAATATAAGGGATTGTATACAATGAGACCATTTACCTTTGGTATAGGGACGTCACAATTACTTACAATCATCCGATGTGAACTTCGATAGTTTGGGTGTCACAAAGTTCTAAAAAATTTATTTTGAACTTTGAGCCTGGTCAATGAAATAAATGCAGCCCACCCAATTTTACATCCAATGGTCAAGATTAATTGTGACCACCTTATACCAAAGGTAAATCGTCTCGTTATATACTTTCCCAAAATATAATAACTAAGAACAGTTTTGATTATCAAACCTTGCATCCCACTAAATTTAGCAGGGATCTATCTGTAAAGGGGTGCTCAAATAGTCCTCCAACAAATTTAACCCGAAGAATTCTCTCTACTGCATCATCAATTCTGGTCATCGAAATCTCCCCTGATTCCACTAGAAATGTCAAGTCGCCTATGAATTTCTGGAAATCATGCGGCACCATAACCTGAAAGCAGAAGTTAAAGGAGTTGTGTGTGTGTGTGTGTGTGTGTGAGAGAGAGAGAGAGAGAGAGAGAAGAGAGAGAGAGAGAGAGAGAGAGAGTAGTAGTTGTACACACACTATACTACTACTACGTACTATTAGTAGTAGTGTCGTAGTATAGTGACGAGAAGACGGTAGTCGTAGTACGTCGTACGGTACGTTAC